AAAGTTATGCTTTAACAAGGTTTACCTCTGTTCATACTCAAAGAAAAAAAGCTAAGTAACACATGTGCATAGAACAGCAATGAGCAATAATTTCTATGCTCATTCCAAAACTGTTTCTAAGTGAGTTTTGTAAAAAGACAAAATTCATCAGTATTCACAACATAAATTGCTGGAGGTTAAGAGAGGAAGAGTTACTTCTTGCACTCTACTTAATAAGCTCCTCAGAAATAAGTGAACAGACTGGACTGATGGTGAGCCTGAGCCAGCAGAGCAGTATCTGTTCACTATATTCACCCAATACTCTCAGGTAGTCAGCTCTTCTTCAAATTACATTTGAGATGTTTATGAAAGAACAGTTCATAAACAGATTTCTTCTTGCCGGATGAAAACATCGGATGATTTCCCTTAACTTTGATTAATACAGACCAGAGTTACTAATTTCTTTAGTTAAGGGGGAAAAGCTCCCTAAATCTTTTCTCATTATCTGCAGAGGATTTTCCTGTAAAGGAAAAAAAAAAAGTCTTTTTTCATCCTCTCTAATAGATGCTTCACATGGTTATGATTCAATATGTTTTACACTACACTGGTAATTCTCATTCTCCAAATATCACATTTAAGGAGGTTAATACACCATTAACATGATTAACTTTTTAATAGAAATTAAGCCATATGGAACCAATCTGCACCATTTGGCCATATTAATGACTAGATAGTGAAGGTCAGCTTCTGTCCTACTGCACCTGAGCAACTTCACTGGTTTCACTTGAATTTCCAGGCATAGATCAAAGGAATGAACCTACCTCTCTCTAGAAACTGAAAGCATAAGCAACTTCCTATTTTTTCCCAAAATAGAGATAATCCATAAAAAGGCAGGGGTGAATCAATACACTAGGCCTGTTTGCAATCTTCCAAATGCCTTCACCACCAGAAAAGCATTTTTCTGATAAATTTGGGATCATGGAGGTGAATCACATCCCTTAATGCAGTTTGGCGAGAACAGTGAATTTTATTCATTATTTCTCTGTCAATCATTACATGTATAAATTGCAGAGTAACGAATTACAGTGCAGTTGATCAAAGGAGCAGCACTGTTTCCTATAGCTTTTTGCCCCTTCCAGCAATACAGCAATCAGACCACACAACTCACAGTTGTGTATCAGACCCTGCGTGTCTGATCCTGAAGTCCCAAGACAGCAAAGCACATCAGTGGCCCTGTCAGTTTAACCACTAATAATGTCAAGAGAATTCTCAGACTGAAGGAGATTCTCTGTCCCCAAAAGCACACGAGCCCTTTCCCTCCTTTATCCCTTCCCCAACTCACTGCAATCTTGCCACCTCCCTTAACACACTTCGCCTGTAAGTAATGAAGGCTCATGTTTCTCCGTCCAGCCCATCTTCTTTCCCATGTTACACTGTGCTTCTCCTCTCTTCTCAGTTCTTCTTAAAGGTGTTGTGGAAATAATACATTTTACTGACCCAGCACCTCCTGGGCAGCTGGTTCCCGGAGCCGGGTGGAAAAGGCAATAAAGATAAAACGCAGCTCAGCAATGAACCACAAGCCTGAACACATCTCAGAGGTCATCTCGCCCATCCCTCTGCCCCACGGGAGGCTCAGCTATCCTCATGTCATTTCTTACAGACATCTCTGTCACCTGCTTTTAAAAACCTCAGTGATAGGAACTACACAAACTCCCTAGGCAATATATCCCAGTCTTCCATCACCTTCACATAAAAAAATTCAACCTTTTCTTCACAGGTCACATTTTCTAGGCGTCAGGTTTTTTCTCCATTCTTCCTTTACAAGTCTCATCAGGCCTTGTCTGCTTTCCCTGCACAAACAGCTCCAATTAAAGAGGTTTCCTTCCAAAAACACTTCTGAAAGTGATCATTAAAGAACTTACTGTATACTGCTGCTGGAATTAAATTGTCTTTTCTATTGTGCAACTCTAACATAATTTGAAGATTTACAGTGACAAAATTATGCTAGTCTCGCGTGTTTCAAGTTCGTTGGTTTTACTGCAGATACACATATGCAACAGGAGAAACAAGTCCAGATAGTCACTGTTGTCATGTGTTTCTGTAATGCCTATTACCAGAAACAGTATAACATCAACAGTAGAACATCAACCATCAAATCAAGGAACTTTTGAGATTTAAAAAATAATTCAATTTTTCATAGTCAAGCTAAAGCTATGTTTGATACAGATAACCCCAGTGTTACAAAATAGTGACCTATCGAAGAGATGAAATTTGACTTTGCTTGAGCAAGCAGTTTCATTAGGAACACAGCCCACTAGAGAGAGCAGAGCAAATCAGATTTGGCTCACAGTTTTCCTGTGAATTCATATGTCACCTGGTTGTTTATTGGTTTTAAATCACTAAAGAAGTAAAAGAGGAAGAGAACTGAAGCAATGTTCTAGTTAACCCTCATCTTCTTGATTATTGCTGGCTTTACTTTCCTCAGGGAATACAGAGGAAGAAAATGCACATAACGGTCAGAAATACCTCCTTTTGTAAATGAATTTAGTCTGCTGTATGGAGCAGCGAGGACAGAGGACACCCCTTACCAAGATTTTTAAACACAGATTCATAGTTATTCACAGACAACAACAAACCAGTAACTTCTCTAATATACTGGATACAATATAAATTTGTATTTCTTTGTTTTAAATAGTGGATTATAAAAGCCAAAGACCCCAAAAGAAAGTCTTTGGGTTTGGCCCAAATGATTTTCCAATATAACAAAGCAATGCACTACTACCTTCAACTGCATTTCTGTATGTATGTTACTACTACACACCCTGCACTAATATATCACAGAAACAAATGCAAGGACTGTGAAAGGACTTCAGGCCTTGAAAATGAGGAGTGTTAAAGATTGTTTCATGGAGCCAATCTTTAAACAAAATTAGCAAACAAAGAAGAACAAACCAGAACATACAAAGCACATTTTAAGCACTGGTTTAACTTATCTGTTCATTATGCATTTTAAACCAAGGATACCAATGAGAAATAAAAAATTCTGATGGTGCTCTTTGAGCTGAAGGTGTCCCTGGAAAAATTTCACAGATAATCCATTCCCTCTTGATTTTCATGATCTTTTCAAAGGTGTGGCAATGTCAGATATAACAGATGTGAAGTTCCATTACAGCTGACCAACTAAGCATTCCCAAGAAACATTACACTAGTTGGAGCTGAAAAGCTAACACTTTGCTACTGAAGGTTTCCCATACTTCATCTACCTCAACATCAGATGCCAACACATTTCACAATGACTTCTGATACCAGGGAAAATACAAAACAGGCCAACATTGATACTTCAGGTTTATTTTAACCCATTTCAGACAAGCTGTCCATGTGCAACCACAGAAGAACATCCAGTCCTGCTGATCCAAATATCAAGACAAAACTGGAGAAAAACCTAACACTTGCGTCAGCAGCATTCCCAAATATACTAAAAACTCCCATATAATTTTGCAAACACCCCTAATATATGGAAGAAGAGAATATTAATTTGCAGAATCCACAAGGGATTATTTTCCTCATGTTACAAAACTGACAGACTTGAAAGTCCAAATTTTAACACAGCTGCTCATGTCCATTAAATATGTATCTGTATCTCAACATGTAGCAAGTACACTGCAGTAATTATACTGTGCTCTTTGCAGGATCTAAAGCATAAATTTCTACATTTTTAAGACAAAGTTTCTTCAAATGTTATGACACCTCAAAACATAAATCATCATTCAGGCATTAAGCAAAAAATCAAAGCAAATTGAAAAATGAACCAAAACATGAACCAGAATGCAAAGAATGTCCTAGAGGCAAGATCAGCAAACAGTTATACCAGCCACTGGTGAGAGTGACAGTACACGGCATTTTGCATCCTTCTTCTGAAGAATCTGCTTTGTGTTCCCAGGATGGCAAAATCATCCTGCCCTTTCCTACGTCCTAAAAAAATGCCAATCATCAATAGCCAAGAGAGCATCAGTTGATAGCATTTCAGGATGCAGCATGGGAGTATTAAGTGACTGAGCATTGATCAAATCACAACAGAATCTGCAGACTGAGTCTCAAGTAGTATTGGTTGACCCTGATGTTAAGTGTGTTCATATTATATAAGCCTACACCAAAGTACCACTTCTGCTGCTGGAAAGTGCTGTTAAAACTCTGAACACACAAACATATATTCAAAGTCAAGCACCTACAAATATATTTCTCCTGTTCAATCAATCAATCTTCAAACGGCCTAGTCTTAAACCAACTTTCTGGAAAAGAAATATGGATCAGTACCTGACCCAACCATTTCACTGGTCACAAGGTAAATTCTCTAAGCATTTAATGTGTGTCACCTGCAGGAAAATTCCTTTTTATGTAATAAGCTACCAGCCATTGAATTATTTAAAATGAAGGTACCTTTTCTTTTCTCATGTACCTTGCACATACACAGAGGGTGGAAAGAAGGCAGCAGGATTTCAAAAATTATGCTTACATGTCCCTTCTAAATGTATACTGCTCTCTAGGGAACAATCAACTCAGTAATGTCTGTAATGCTCAGGCTATAATTACAAAAATGAGATGCATAACCTTTATTACACCAGCAAACAGTTAACTTCACAGATTATTTCTCTTACTTTACGGCTCTCAAATCTTTCATCTTTTCTGTAAGTAATAAACTGCTTCCAATCTTCTACACTGCAGCTAAACTGTGCATTCAATGTCAGATGCTGCACACCTCACTAGCAGAAACTCAGCACAATGCAAGACCACCTTCAGCCCATATAGTTTCATATACTGCCATAGCATGGCAGAATGTCTTCTGGATTTAGCAAATTCAAACAGATTCTGTTGCTACATCACATAGTTAACGCCTTGAAAGTCTCCCTGTTTAAAGAAAAAGGAAGAAAAAGAAGGAACAGCCTACATCTCCAAATATGACAGTGCATTCCTGGCATAGAAAATGCAATGCAAGAAGAGAATAATGACAGTATTTATGTTACCTTCAGTCACATAGTTGTGGTCTCGAAGAAAGCTGTGGTTAATTTTTCGTGTGTCCGTGTCCTCGCCCATTTACAGCAGGATTACTCAGCATGCCTATCCGCAGTGGACTGATAGCATCAGCAGAGGTCGTCACAAGAGCACCATCCATGCTGCCACTGCCTAGCAGAGGCGGAGAACACACTGGGCTACTGAGCACAGCATAATGAGCGCTAGAGATGCAGCACAGATTTGGGAGGGTGAATAACGATCGGGAAAGAAAAAAAAAAACGGATGGGGGGAGGAAAAGAAAAAAGTAATGGGAAAAAATCGGAGGGAGAAACAGCTCCGATAAATTATGAATGCAGAAAGCCAGTAGGGAGCTTGCGTGAAGGGAATACAGGCACTTCTCCGAGAGTTAAAGAATAACCCAATTGTTTAGTCAGGTACTCCTTAAACAAGTGCCCACGCAGAGTCTCCTCCAAGTGCCTGCTGCTGGGGATCTTGCTGGATGCTGTAAAGTGGCAATCAGCGTACTGCAGCAAAACCCGCCCGGAGAAGGGCTCTGATTGCTGTTGCTGCTACCGCTGTCATCTGCCTGTGCTGCATCAGAGCAGGCCCCTCCCCGTCAGCCGCTCACTGCCCAACCGCACAAGGTCTGCATGTAGGAAAGTGAAAAATGAGACTGCAGGTAATTATTTTAGCTGTTCTGCCGGGAAGATGGGCGATGAAGAAATTAAGGGAGGGGATGAGGGAGAAAAAACTTCAAGCTGCTTTAAACGGGTTTGCATTGACATGGACCGCACACTAGCGTGCCGCCACAATTCTGTGCTAGTCGATACTGTCATATGCAGCAAAAGCAACAGTCGTTCAATGTCAGCCTGTGTAAATATGACTGAAATTGCCAAATATCTGCCTATGCAAATGGAATCATTAGAGGGAGGGCAACCACTCAGAAAAGTGAGATAAAATAAATATTATTTACCTTTCCTTCTTTTCCACTTTTGTAAATAAAAGACAAATTACAAAGTATGAAAAAGATAACAGCCAGGAAAATAATCTCTGTGGCTTCCCCGTACAGGAAAGGAAAGCTGGACAAAGGGAATGTCTGCAGGTCATGGGGCTTTCTTAGACCTGCTACTTTCATTCACTGCATTGTCCCTTCACCTTGGAAAAGTAGTGTTGAAATCTGTCTACTCAGAAATAGGAAAACGAGTAAAAGAAGAAAATTGCCTACTTGCATTATAAAATAAAGCTAGTTCTTTAGTCCAAGAGGTTAATGGCTATTACAGGTTATATTACAGCAAAATTCTTTCAACTGAACAGAGAAGCAGTTCCTTTAAGCTTTCAGTATCTGTTCATGACACCATGAACCATTTGATGCAGAAGGCACATACTCTGAAAAGGTGTAAGCACCACTGAAGTTTAGAAATTTGAATAGAAAACAAATGACTGTGGACTGAAACCTCCACTACATCATGAAAAGGGAGCATACCATCACCAATCCAATTTAGGGGAGAGAGTACAGTCCTGTGGCTTAGGCCCTGGAACTGAACACAAAAATACAATTCAGTTGTCAGCATTACTACAGCATTTTGTGTAATCCTGCATGAGGTATTTTGTCTTTCTTTATAATGAAGCTACGACATATGGTTCGTGAAGGTAAATTCAAATACATTGCTGTTACTATAAAAGGGGCATGTGACTTATCTCTATACTTTTTTCAATGTAAAAACCTGCCCAGGGATAAACATCTAATTTGGAAAAGAAAGAAGAACAGCAGTGGAATGACCTTCTTGCCTTTCTCATGGATAAAACAAAGTAAATCAGAACCATCTTCAACCTGACAAGTAAATATCATAAAATCTTCACATCTGAAAAGGTGGGAAAGTAAAATAAGTTATTCAGTACTTGCACCAGAATAGAACAAATTTTATTTACACATGATTTTTGTAGGTGACAACACTAGAAATGTTACTTCCGCATTGAGAGCATCAGTTAACATTGTGGTAGCACTGGCAGCCCTACAGTGCCTGCTCTGTCCCCTTCAGTCATTTGCTGCCTTTGCCCATGTTTTCCTAATATCCAGTCTAAATCTCTCTTGGAGCAACTTGAGGCCATTGCTTATTGTCCTATTGCTCGTTACTTGGCAGAAGAGACCAACCTCCACCTCACTACAACCTCCTTTTAGGTAGTTGTACAGAGCAGTAGGGTCTTCCCTGAGCCTCCTTTTCTCCAGGCTTAACAAACCCAGTTCCCTCACCTGTTCCACATAAGGCTTATTCTCTAGACCCTTCACCAGCTTCATTGCCCCTCTCTGGACCCACTGCAGCACCTCAGTGTCTGTCTGTCTGAACACAGGATTCGAGGTGCAGCCTCACCAGTGCCCAGTACAGGGAGATGATCACTGCCCTAGCCCTGCTAGCCATGCTATTGCTGATACAGGCCAGCAAGCACTTGGTCTTCTTGGCTGCCTGGGACAAAGCTGCTCATGTTCAGTTCTGTCGATCAGCATCTCCAGGCCCTTTTTCACCGAGCAGCTTTCCAGCCACTCTGCCCCAAGCCTGGAGCATTGCATGGGGTTGTTGTGGCCCAAGTGCAAGACCTGGAACTTCACTTTGTTGAACCTCATACAACTGGCCTCATCCCACTGAGCCAGCCTGTCTAGATTCCCTCTGCAGACCCTTCCTGCCCTTAAGAAGATCAATGCTCTCACCCAACTTGGTGTCATCTGCAGACTCACTGAGGGTGCACTCAATCCCCTTATCCAGATCATTGATAACTATCTTAAACAGAACTGGCCCCAATACCAAGCCCTGGGGAATACCACTTGTGATCAGCCACCAACTGGATTTAACTCCATTCACAACTCTTTGGGCTCACCCATCCAGCCAGGTTTTTACCCAGCAAACTACACCCATCCAAGCTATGAGCAGCCAGTTTCTCCAGGAGAACACTATGGGAAACTGTGTCAAAGGCTTTACTAAAGTTTAGGTAGACAACATCCACAGCCTTTCCCTCATCCACAGAGCGGGTCACCTTGTCATAGGAGATGAGGTCAGTCAAGCAGGACCTGCCTTTCATAAACTGACACTGGCTGGGCCTGATCACCTGGTTGCCCTGTACATGCTGCTTGATGGCACTCCAGACAATCTGCTCCATAATGTTACACAGCATCAGGGTCAGGCTGACGGGCCTGTAGTTCTCTGGATCCTCCTTCTGGCCCTTCTCATAGATGGGCATCACATTTGCTAACCTCCAGTCAACTGCGATCTACCTGGTTAGCCAGGACTGCTGATAAATGATTGAAAGTGGCCTGATGAGGATTCCTACCAGCTCCCTCAATACCCCGTGGTGGATTTCAAGGTCTCAAGTTGTTCATAAACAACTTCCTTAGGTATCACATGTGGGTCAGACCATGCTTACCTTGTTTTTTCCGCTTTTAAGTTAAAAGAAATTCTCAAAAGGAGGAACAGAATGAGGATGAAGCCTTTAACAAAAACACTAGGCAACATTCCCTATGTGCATGCAAATGCTTTCCCAAGATTATGAGCCAAATTCTTACTGTGTGGCAAATATTAGTGCTCCAGTGCCTGAAGTAGGTCAGTTCACATGAGAAACATTAGCAAAATTCTGCTTTACTTCTGTAGCACAATGCAAACTTGTGAGACAATGTCTGTGGGTAACTTTAGCTGCGCCATTTTAAATGGTACTTATTATCAATCCCACCAATAACCTACATCACTTGATCTGGTCAAATACCCGGGGGGGGGGAATGAATCTTTGATCAAAAACACTATTAGGTATTCATGCTTCCACAGTAGCTCACAGTCCTACTCATAAAACAAGCCTCTAATTGAGCAGAATACTGTGCAAACACAGAAATAAGAGCACCCTATCCTAAAGAATTTACAAGCAAACTATAAAACAGAAGAGCTACATACACATCATCAGAGACATTTAAGTAAACAGTGAGTCAGTAATGAGGATGGGGTCCTGGTTTTGAGCATTCTTCAAAAGAAGGTCATTTGAGATTTTGTGGAAGGCAGCTACAGACAAAAACTGTATTCAAGAGGTTGAATAGTAACTACATAACAAGAATAGAGAGAGCTTAAAGGTAAAAGAAGGAAGCCTGACTAGCAGGTCAAGAGCCTTTTCTTTTTTTTTTGCCTCCTCCTCATAGATGGAAAAAGACTCAGCACATTAAGATGCATTTTAAACAGTAAGATGTTCAGTGAAAATGTCAGTGGAGAGTGAGAGGTAAGGAGGAAAGGAAATGACAAGGAGGAAAGGAAATGACAAGCGCAGGCATGACACAGATGCCAGAAATAATGTGGGTGTCTGTAAGAAAATAGAAGAATTAAAAGGAAGACAACAAAAACTGAACCTGTGCCAAGAGGAGAAAAACCTGATAGGATAGGGCGATAAAATAACTTGAGGAGAGGAAAAAACTTGTATTGCACCTTGTCAGAGTTCTGGGGAGAAGGACTGGAGAAAGGAGAAGGTAGAGAAAAAAAAAAAAGGAGCCAGAAACTGAGGCAGGAGGCAGCCAGTGCCCTTAGGAAGAAATCAAAACTAGCAAAGATACAATTGGAACTGAGAATGTACGATTTAGTAACAGTGTAGCCTAACAGTGGCAAGGAATTGAAGACCGTGAGAACAAATTTTGGCTGAACACTGTTGATCATGTTTGTTCACTGCATTTCCACCAGGAAGCTCTGCAGCATGACAGCAGGAGGAATTAGGTGTTGGGAAGGCAGCTGGTCCCGAGAGTTCCTGCGTGGCCCTGTTTACAAACGCCTGTTGAACACACAGCCATCCTGCTTTGCTCCTGCAGAATCTTTTTGTTCTTCTCTTAAACACGTTCTCCCTAAGAGCTTCTATTTAGCTGTGTCAGATACTTGGAGCACAGCCTTTAATAATTTACACTCAGCGTCTGAAATAGAGCATTGTCAGGCACTCCCAGCCTCCATTTTACTACCCCCAAATTCATCACTTTATCTGAATAAGAACAATTAAGCTTGAACTGCAATTGAAAGAAACAGTGGTTGAACACTTCTGTTTTTGTCTAACAAAACTTTTCATATACAAATCATTCTGTACTTTATTTCATAAAACACAATGGCTTTAAATGAAATGGAACTGAATTTGGAATTAGCACAGAACTTGAATTATTTCTGAAGAACAAGAGATTTAAAACACTGATGGTAAAACAAAGAGAAACAGTCCTTGGAAGTTACACAAATTGGTCCAAAAGCAGACTATCTTGGAACATGACCTTAATTTATTGTTTGCAAATTCAGCGGAGGTTTTTAAGTGCTTTGACAGAATTTGCTTCTAACCATATCCTAACATCTGCCAACTAACCAGTACAAACTTTCTCATCTTGAAATACAATAACACAGGAAATTAGCTGGCTACAGGACAAATACAACAAAATATTTAGCTAACCCTTTTAAGGTTATACTTCATTGCAATTGTATTTGCTCACCAAAAGAGAATATTTATGAGCCAGATATTCTCTCCCTTTATGGATATCTAGTTTATGTACAGAGATGTAAAACACGTAGCTACTGACTTCTCCTGTTAGGCCACCAGCAAATTAGCTTTACTGTTTATTTATTCATTCTTAATGTCCAGGACAGTAAGATTAAATGGTACAGTCTTTCCTGTTCAGAAATACTGAAGCTCACTGGCTGCCTTTCATTTAAAAAGATAAAGCAGCAAGGAATTATAATGTGATAAGCTACTCCCTTATCCTTCAATCCAACCATAGTCAGAATGGCATAGAAAGGACTCAGAACTCAGCCAGGAAAAAGACAGCAAATCCACTCCCTTGGTTTTGAGTAGTTTTGCTTCTCACTCTTTGAGAAAGCTACTTTAAAACTGGTTCCTCTGCTTTCTAGTCCTCCCCTAGTAATTCTATCCAGAATGAACATTCACTCTGGATCATACCCTCCCTTAGATTTGAGACTAGATCTACATTGCAAATTGAAGCAGGAATACCCAAGCCACCTTTAAACAAGTTAGATCTTGGATACAGCCCAGCTGTGGTGGCAGAGACCTCAGCAGGAGCTGTATACCTTGGAGAGAAGTGGCCCCATATATGATTAAAGTAGCAACGGTACAAATGTCTTTCCACCAGTGCCTTTTTGAAGACATTCAAGTACATCTCATTACAGGATGCCTACTAGCAAAGGAAGTAATCTAATAGCTCTGTGATAGCAACGAATGTATCATAAATGACTCTTATCAGAGTTTGTCTTAAAAATTAAAATTCCCATACTTTTCTGAATAGCGCTCTTTATATTTGTCTAATAGCAAAATATAACATACAATACAGTACTACAACGTAATTCCATTTTTGATACTTTGACAGCAAAACAAAAACAAATAGATACTGCCAAAAGTTAATATAAAAAGTAATAAAAAATATCAATCACTGCTATCAAGTAAAAAGTTAGCAATTTTGTCTTACGGTAACACCTCAAAATTATTTACAATCTTTATATTGATAGCATTTAATTTCTATTTCACTAACTCTCTTGAGTTACTGTAGAGGAAATTTAATATTTAATATTAAAAATTATGATATAGCCCAACAATTTTTTAAACAAACTAATGGCTGCTATCACTATTTGAAAATCCTCTATCATTTACGAAAGGGAAGTTTCTTCAACACACTACATTTTGCTCTGTTAAACTTAAAAGTAACACCTCCCCAGAAGAAATGACTTATTTTTAGCCTACAGAAAAACCTGGAGCTTGAGGAAGAAGGCAGGGCTGGGGACTGCTTCCAACTTAGCCTTTACTTTCACCTGAGATTACTCTGCTCCCAAGTTTCTCATATTGAAATATTAAATGCAAGTATATTTCAAACAAGATGTTTATGTTGGGTATCGTTGCATTACATCAGTTTCATTTTATAAATACTTTATACAGATGTGAATTAACTCTTTATATCGATGTGGATTAACTGTAAGTATCCCAGCATCATTTGCATGCTGCGTCACACCTAGTATATGAGGTAGCACGTACCTTGTTACCACTGTATGGTGCTTGTAGGACACTTTCTCTCTAAAGTGATAGCCATGGTAGCATCCTCTCTGAATTACTGAGAACAATTAGGGAGAGCAACTCACCACATGTTCTACTGTTGTGTAGGGGAAAAAAACTTTTCAAGTGTATACTCTACAGACAAGAATATAAAATTGTGATGCATGCAGTTTATTCACACTAACATTGTTACTGCATCCTTTTATGAACACAAAACGTAGGAAATCTATCCACACTACTGAAAAACTATGAACCTGGAAAGCAGCAACAGGTCCTAAAAAGGAGAGCTAAAAACCTTTTTGAAAGGGCTGGAAATCATGAAGGGAAGATGTTTTAGTGGCTGTTCACGATGAACAGATCACAGGCACCAGAGCACACAGTGCTAGAGGCTGCTGATGGGCGCTGTCACAACAGTGAAGCCTCAGGAGCTGAGCTGCGTTGCCTCCTGGCACTTCACCCAGCACACTGTCAGAAATGGTTTCCAGACAAGACCTATCACTCCACAGCCAGGCAAGGTAGCAATGACAAAACTAACTTCATACCCTAAGACAAGATGACCCACATTCCAAATATCTTCATAGAAGTCAGGCTCTGGAGTGGGACATGAAGCCTGCTGTGACAAGAATGCCTGAAAAGAGACTAACAGAGAATCTGCAAATAAGCACATGGTGTGAAATACAAAAATGTCACTTGGAGATGCTGGAAAATCCAAAGAAATGAGGCTAGAAAACACAGATTAGAAAGTGGCCTGAAAACAAAACACAATTCAGAGCAGGGATACAGGCCATGATAGATCTCACTGAGACTTTGAAAACATGGTTGTGTGCATATTTGTGCAAGAAAGGAATTAGGAAAAGAGGGAAGGAATCCCATGAGAACAACAGTCAAACCAATTCTAAGGGTCACATACATCCCCCCCTGCACAGCAATGGACAAAAACACACATTTAAGCAGTATCCTGTTGAGGCACTTGTGTGGTCAAGACACTGGAAAAGGAAAGCACTTTCTAGAACAGCTTCCAAACACCATCATTGTGAAAGGATTAAGCTGATAAGACACAGAAATCCTAGAAACATGGAGCTTGAAGAATTTCAAAAGGAAAATAAAGGAAATCAAGAGGAAAGATGGCAAAGCAGGTACAAGGAAACAAACTTTCTGCCCAAGCTCAAGAGAGGAAACAGAGGAAATTCTTTTAAACTCTATGACCTGTTATAAAATATTAGAAGCTGCCTAAGAATTTGTGTCCTGGGTTCAGTTTAAACCATGACAAGTTGTAACACCTCTAAAACATTCTTGAGACTTAAGCAAGTAATTAAAAATCAAATCAAATTAGCAGATTGTATTTGCTTTCATATTAGGAGCTCTTTCTAACGCTTTGCTAATTCAGAACTCAAAATATTTCAGGAAATGATAATGAGGGAACAATTCCTGCACATGGCAAGTCTATTAAACAAAATCAACACAGGATCATTTATTATTGTCTTTGCATTCTACACAATCACACAAAGATGACAGCTTTGAAGGGAGCTTAGCCCAAAAGACTATGCTGCTCATAAGTCTGCAGAGAAATTACATGTGACAGGACATTCATCCCGAGTCCTTCTTTCCACCAATGTGTCTAATTAATTCAGATGGGCATAGTGCAAACAGCTTTTTCTCCAGCTTTACCTTACACCACAGAGTAGTTTCATATTTCTCTGGTCTATGATAACTAAGACGACACCTTAATCCGGCAATTCCAGAGCACCTGCAGACCTCAGCCATCCAAACTTCATCAGGAACTACTGCAGAACAAAAAAGCTGTTCTAGAAAATGATACAGTGCTAATTTTCTTCTTGTACATAAAATCTACTGCAATATTGTTGGTACAGCCTCAAGAGAAAGGAAATCTCTCACAACAACAAATTGCATCAACATAAACAATGATTTTGCTGTTGGCCTTTCCTCCAGATTACCCAAATATTTAAATTACTGGAGCTTCTGAAGTACAGTAAAAAATGCTGCACCTGCTGCAAGAGCTGCAGTCTCTGAAATAATACTCATTTGCTAACACAAAAGCTACAGATAAATTCAAGCTATTAAGAAAGAAAAAATCCTAAAAGAAAACAACCACAAGCATTCAACAGTGTGAGAAAAAAGGTAATTTGCAAGCAGAAATGTAGATTAGAATCAGAGCAGCAGTTTGGAAGGGAGCTCAAGGATCATCTGGTCCAACCTTTCTAGGCAAGCATGACCTACACTAGATATCCCAGCACCCTGTCCAGTTGAATCTTAAAAGTGTCCAGTGCTGGAGAATCCCCCACTTCACCAGGGAGATTATTCCAGTAGCTGTCTGCTCTTGCTTTGAAAAATTTTCCTCGTGTGTCCAACCAAAATCTCCCCACGAGTAACTTGTACCCATCACCCCTCATTTTTTCATGTGACTCCTTGTAAAAAGGGAGACTCCATATTCTTTGTAGCCACCCTTTAAATACCGGAACACGGTGGTAAGGTCTCCCCTGAGCCTTCTCTTCTCTGGACTAAACAAACCCAGCTCTCTCAGCCTTTCCTCACACGGCTTCCCATTACTTTTATCATCTTTTGGCCCTTCCATGGAACACCTCCAGCCTGTCCACATTTTTTTTGTGAGGACCAAAATTGAACACAGTATTCCAGGTGTGTCCTGACAAGCACTGAGCGGGACAATGACATCTACCTCTGCTGTTAATGTCCTTGCTGATGTAGCCCAGCATCCCATTGGCTTTTTTCACCACAGCAGCATGAGTTAAATCTACACATTCAGCTCAGTATCACTGGCAAACTTTATCAGGGTACATTTGATCCCATCTTCCAGATCACTTACAAACACTCTGGGCCCAGTATCGATCCCTTGGGGACCTCACTGGTGATAGGTCACCTGCCTGAAAAGGAACTACTTGCCACAACCCTCTGGGTACAGCAGGTCAGACAGTTCCCCACCACAACACAGATCAATTGTCTAGACACATAATGTATCAGTTTCTCTAGGAGGAGGCTGTAAGAAGCCATGTCAAAAGCCTTGGAGAAGCCCAGGCAGACCATGTCCACTGCTTGCTCCACATCAACCAAGCATGTTACATTGTCATAGAAGGCAATCAGGTTCGACAAGCATGATTTGCCACTGGTGAATCCATGCTGGCTTTTCCCAGTCATGTGTTACACCTGACTTGTGGCAGCCCCCAGGAGGATTTGTTCCATAACTTTTCCCAGGAACTGAAGTAAGCCTGATGGGTCTGTAATTTCCTGAACCCTCCTTTAACCTGTTCTTGTAGATGGGGTGATGTCAGTCTTATTCCAGTCTTCCAAAACATTCCCCAATCTCCATGGCTTTCCCAAAGATTACTTCCCAAGACATCACAACAACATCATCCATCTCGACACCCTCTGGGGGACAGTCTCAGGGCCCATCAATTTGTAGGGGTCAAAAAAGGAAGTTTGCAAGCCATGCTAAACCCCACATTTTGAGGAGTATGAAACCCCATGTTATGTTGCAGTAAACACCAAATGCACTTAAATGTTGTTCTCCAGCCTCATACCAACAAGCAGGAATCAAACTTCAGGAAAACAGAACAAATCACAGAGGTGATTTAGCATTGGAAACAGAGAATTACAAGGTAACAACTGAGAAGACTCCCGTAGGAAGCACAAACATCAAAAGTAATCATTTTTATTGAGGCTCAAGACACAGTGAGTTCTAATTAAAGGAACTCATGTTGCTTATTTTAAACTGTTTTGAACTACACTTACAAGGCAGAGTATAAGTAGAAAGTTATTAATTGATTTCACAACCTAATAAAGGACTAAACACCTACAAAATAAGTGTTGCAATGGAAACAGCAAAGGTGCCAGGCCCCAGGCAGAATCTGGGAATGCAGGGTAATGTTCTTGGCCTATCCAGTGTGGAAACTGCCAACTCAGGAAGCTCCCTAAAATCAGCACCCTGAAATGCTAAACACAAAGGGTCATACGCTCCTTTCTAGGATTTAGAGGTCTCAAACAAGATCATGAAGAAGACATGCGGGCTGATGTAAGATACAGAGCCTGAACATGATTATAGTCCTAATAGTTGGTGCCACAATATATTCCCTGACGAAACCGGGGGACACTCTTACCTTAGTACATAATCACATGCTGATAACTCATATGGAAAATGCAGTATCATTTCATTTTACTTCAAGAGAAAAAAAAAATCTGGGTATGGACATTTACATACTTCCTGCTGCAGCTGCAACAGGTGTCAACAAAAAATGAAGTATTCGTGGAACCAGAAATGATCCAACTATGAAGAACACAAATCTGTGTCTTAGTGATTGAGATGCTCACCACAGCAATGAAATTGTGGGCTTTTTGAGCTGAACTTGAAGTCAGTTCAAGTTTTTGCACTTGCAGTTACGTTATGCACAGAAGAGAAACAGTCACCCAAATAGGATCTGGAACCACAGCTGCACTCAAGTGTGTGTAAGAGGAAATTCAGCTTGGCAAAGAGGGAAAAGGAGCCCTCATCTAACACAGGTCCAAAGGCCCCAGCATAACTTGCTGTTGGACAAGAAAGGTCTGCTAAGCAAAAGCAAGCTCCAGCATGTCAATGACCACTTTAACAAAAAAAGAAGGGGAGGGGTGGCTGCTTAATGGTACAAATTTCGCTAAACTCTGCAAAACTATCTTTAACCTTACTTATAGCCAGACTGGGACTCACACAGTTGCTGAGCAAGCATAAATGCTAGGCCTTAAAATATCTACAGTCTGTAACAGAATGAATTAATTTCAACTAATGAACTGCTGAGCCAGCATGACAAAAAGACCAGAGCATGGGAAAAGTAATGCAGTAATGGTATGCTTAAAATGATTATAAATCAAAGAAAAGAGACCAATGTCTTTAAGCCTCAAAAAACAACTCATTGGGGAGGGATGAAGAAGACCCTCTGTTCGAGACACTGTGCTTAAGGGTACAGTGACCAGTGATCTGAGGTCTGGAACAGAGTAGTAAAACAAGAGGTGGGTAGTCTGGGAAATCAAGGAAGTAAGCTGTGGGACATCACGGTTTTAAGTGGATAAAGGCGAAGTCAAAAGTCAACAAGGTGGGTGCAGCAGAAGAGAATCAACACTGCAGATCCCAGAAACCTGACTGTTGTAGAGACGCATACTACTCTGAACAACCTTGATGCACCAGGAGGGTTGTCCTTCAATCCCCCATGCACGAGTGTGGGCTGTAAGGCCAAGAGAGGGGTCTTGTGTACCTTAAGTTTTGGGGGAGCTTAAATATCTGTGAGTAAAAGTGTCTAGCATAACCACAAAATTATATATAAGCTAATGAGTGTAGACTGTTCCTCATATCCAGTCATTTATGTAATCTCTTTAGTTATGGAATTCCTACATCAACACACCCACAGCCATGCTTATCTCATCATTACCTATCTCACAGTTTGACTGCTGAGATTGCCTGCTATCCTTACTTGTTCTGATTATTCCATAGTTAAGTACCACTGATTCTTAGCTGTCATTGCTCTGCTCTGCCCGTAAATATTGCCAACCTGTGTAACTGTTAAAAATCCTGCCTCCTTGTGTAACTAGTCTCTTTCCTTGCCAGATAATGCTGTTGCACACACCCTCCATAGACACTAACCCACAGTGCCAAAACCATAATGTAAAGGAAATACAGTTGTATTTTCTGTTGTGCTAAATGCATGCAGGAAATACTCCTGGCTTGAGTTTCCAGGATAATTCCCTACTTTGTTTCAGAAACTCAGTGGACCAATGGGAACAACCTAGTTAGGTTTAGTCATTTCCACATATAGGGAGCACATATGTGAGCTTCAGTACATATATTTGTGTTTAGCACATTTGTATTTCAGCATATTCCTAAGCCCTGTTTAGGATCTAACCATAAATCCCGTCCTTACAACAGTTAAGCACTTTTTAGAATTTTAACCAGATACAATCAGATTATAAAAGATTCTTTCAAATAAAATGTGGCAGAAACCTCTAGCAGTATGCATTCTGCATAGTTCCATTTAAAGAAATTTAATCTAATGACTTCCTTGGTAACACACTTAGAACTGTAACTCCTATGACTCCTTGGAAAGTAATTAAGAGCAGCTTCTTAATTATTCATTTTATCTATAACAAACCAAGAAGATTTGTCTTTCATTTGCTCCAATGTAACTGACAGATGTGAGCATTTCAAGTTCACCAGAAAAAACATAAATAAACCAGTAACTTAATACAACAGCATTTCAGAGAAAGCACAGTAAGCTATCTATCTATTTGTATGTATTGGTAAGGAAAACAGAAAATACAAAAGCCATTTGACCCCA